ATTTTAAGTCTTATTGAGATTAAATTTGTTTTGAATTGTCGATGCTAATCTCAAATTAAGCAAACTGCTTATGCTAATGCTAATTTTACACAGGGCTAAAATCCAGCCATTTTTAAATACTGTATACAGAGCTGAAAAATTATATCCAGTAATATCGGACAACTTCAACAAAATTTAAATGCAAACACAAAACCAAACATCCCCACCCATTTGTCAAATATTTGGGTGGCACCTGGGGTGGCCAAAGGGTGGCACTTCTCAACCCTGCCATCCCTCTGGCTCCACCTGCTGATAAGATTTAAAAGAAGCAAAAAACTGAAGAGAAGACCAYCTGGACGTTGGGCAGGAGGACCAAAGGTAGGAAAGGAGAACATTCAAACCAATTTCTCCCTCAGTTGTCAGGAAAAATGTCAGGTCCCCAGCAAATCAAATTCCATTTGATGAAGAACTTTTTTAAATACTGAGTCTGTTTTCAGATTTCTGAATAGATTGTCCTGTAGGGATCAAGAGAGGCTTTTGTTTGTTTTAATATTCTGTGTCAACATCACCCTGTCTATTTTATTTGACTTAAAATTGGACGTTAAGTCAACAGCTGCAGGTCATGGTACGGCATAATCTGGGCGGGCACCCGAATATTTGATGGACAAGCAGATTTACTTGCAAGTACTCAAAGTTTAAACACAGACAGAGAAAGGACTAATGGGCCAAAATAAATTTAAATTGAGTTTCTTATAAAAAGAAAATAAACCTTAAAAAAGGCAAAGAAAAAAACAGYAAAATTTGGAYGAACCATTATCCGATTTCCAATWCTATGCACTTAATGAAATCTGAAAAAACTGATAACAAGTGCTCGCATTTTATTTAAAATGTGTCCAAAACTGCTTCAAATCTGGAGATGGGGCCTGGGATGAGACCAGATRGTTCAAACAGAATTTACCTCCTGATTCAGCAAACAGATTATCAGCATGAACTTCTAGGTCAAGACAAAAACAAAAACAAAAAAAAAAAAAGGAAAGAAAAAAAATTGAAAGTGAGCGTTCGTTATCTGTTTTTTTAATGTATAATTTAGGACACAAAATTGAAAATCGATATTGTTTCTTTATCCAACTTTTATTTTGGTTCAGTAAACAAAAACAAAATTAATTTTTTTTTTCAAAAAAAAAAAGAGTAGAGTTTCATTGAACTGGTATTAATATGGTCAGTGTATCTTTTGGTTAAAATTGTTAAAACTTTTGCTAAATAAAAATGTTGATGACAAACCATTATCCGATTTCCGATTTTATGCACTTAATGAAAACTGAAAAAATTAATAACGAGTTCTAGCTTTTTATTCATAATGCTTCAAATCTGGTGATGGGGACAGCATCAGTTACCAGGGAGGCCAGCTGGTTCAAACAAATTGGACAAACTGATTGTCGCAATGAGTTGCTAGTTTGTTTAATCCCCAGCAAAAAAACAAACAAACAAAAAAAACAAAAACAAAAAAAAAACCCCATAAGAGTAGAGTTGCATCTACTGTAACTGGTATTAAGATCAAAAAATGCACTTTCATCAATGAAATGTGTATAGTAAATGTTGAGTCCATGAAAGAAATAATGGTGCGGAGAAGAAAAGGCTTTTCTAAACTTAAAGCTGTCTGTCTACCTTTAAGGAAACAGTGCCAGGCTGTAGGAGGCCAGGAGAAACTCCAGCCCATGTCTTCATCATCAGACAGAGACGACCTGGTGGAGACTGCAGAGCCGCACTCGCTGCTCATCTGTCCAGCAAACAAAAACAAACATAAAAAGAAAACAAGAGGATCGGAACAAATCAGACTGAAGAAAACGAAAAACAAAAGCAACTAAAACGGAACGTCGCCTCGGCTGTACCCTGCTGCGTCGGCGCTCCCTGCTGGGAGCTGTGGGGGGTGACGCTGCGCTGCTCGGGAGAACAGGAGGGGGCCGAGCGTAGGAGTGGAGATCGCTGCTGCTACTGGTGCTCGGGGTGTTGAGTGAAGAGAAGCTGAAACCACAAAACATACAAACAGCAGCAGCAGGTGAGAAGAAACGAGCTTTGATAGCTGGATTCGTCACCTAAATCACACAGGAAACGTTTGGTTCCGTCGTTTCTTTGATTTATCTTCACCCACCTGCTGTGAGCGGGRTCCTGCAGCAGCGGGCTCTGAGGCCCGGTGGCGATGTGCGCCAGCTGTGTGAGCCACAGGGCGTCCGGAGGCGGTGTCTGCGTGTGGGCGTGTCGCTCCTGGTGCGACACGCCCACCTCTACCTGGAAGACGGGCAGAGCCGTCGGTTCCTCCTGAACCTCCTGCAGATCTGGAAGATCGTCTGAGAGGAGGAAAACTCTGTTTTTATTAATGTTGTAAAAAAAAAAAGGTTGGACCGCTGCTCCTCTCCTCTCAGTACAAACCATATTCCATGTAGGTGTCGCTGGTGGGGATGCCGGGGGAGGACATGAAGTGTTTGTCACAAAGCAAAGGACCATGGGACTGGTCTCCATGAGTGTTTATTMCTCCTGATGGACATGACAAAACAACAACAGCCATTAAACTTTAACACTTTAGACAATATGTTTTATTAAATAGTTATTATGTTTGTTCAGAGTTCACATTATTGCAAAAAAATTTTTTTTCTTAGAATTGCAATGATTTGGTCTGAATTCCTCCTTATTATATTTCCACAAGCCCCGCCCCTTTTCTGAGGTGTCTCTCAGATCAACTTATTTTGATGCTGTCTCTTTAAATACAAAAGAGGTGTTTCACACCGCCCACCTCCAGCTTCCAGAAYGGTCCATTCTAGTTTCATWGAGGGGTTTATGACAAAATAGCAGCGCAGAAACTTTTTATTTACAAATTTATTAAACGATGTCAACAAGAGAAGACTTGTTGGAGCCAGAGCTAATGGCTAGTCTGAGCAGAGATTAGCTGTTAGCTCATCACCATCTTTAACGCTAAACCTAAAAGTTTTTATTATTTTTTTTATTTGGACAAACACTATTTTAACCTCTCCCTGGGCTGCCACCTTATCGTGGTGGAGAGGTTTGAGTGTCCCAATTTTGGGAGGATTTTAATTAATGAAGAGTTGCTAAATTATAAGTTTTCTTATAATTTATTAACATAATAAAAGGGCACCACCTGTTGCTCTAACAGGAAATTAATCTCGTATTTTTGACAATCTCATGTACTGGAGGATGGAGCTCTTTTCAGTTTATGACGGTGAACACAAATAAAAAGACGCGGAGACAGAGCATGGATTTCACAATATACCCTACACTCACCGGCCACTTTATTAGGTACACCAC